GTGCCAGTACAGTTGTGATGTGAGAGTGGGGATAGGGACGTGCTGAATCTGGGATGCATAAAGGTAACAGCTTGAAAGTGCTGCTTGACCCAGTCCATGGAGCCCAGGGGCATATAAGGAGAGGCAGCTTGAAAGTGCTGATTGACCCGATCCGCTCAGACTTGCTCTGTTAATGTATGTGTGGATGTGGGTGTATTCATCCAGTTCTGGGGCTGGAGTAACCCAGCCTCAGGGAACCTAGGTCCTGCAGGATAGCTCCATTGGGAGGGGACTTGCAGAAGGGAGAAGTAGAGCTCCATATGAAAACACAAGTGACACAAACAGTACATTGATAGAATTACAGAAACCTCCCCCTCCCCCGAAGAGTAACCCGAATAAATGCTGCGGGATTCTAGAGTCGCAGCCCACGGTAATGTAGCTTTCTAGAGCAATGATACAAAACAACATGCCTTTTCTAGACACTGGTATTCTTGAGTATTTGCCCCCACATCCTGCAGTGTTCTAGATTAGCTGCCTGAAACATTACCGTACACTTAGGCTGCCTGGCCCAATTGTCTCGTCGGAGCTCTGTATTGATGTACCTGGAATACAGGGGCCCAAAGGCGTTAACATAACCCAGTCCCTCTGCCACATTAAACAAGGTTTGGGCGCTGGTATCCAGAGACCTCACCCTGCTCAGTCCCTTCGCAAACACCCACTAAAAATCCTTCAAACCTCTTTGTAAAGATAAAGAAGAGAAGGGAAACCAGTGACTGCGTTTGCCATTTGAAGTATTAAGCTGGGTTTTTGTTTCCACACTAGCCCTGGTCCCTTTCCGTGGAGAGACGGTTTAGATGGAAACCCCCTTGTTTGACAGTCTCTGAAATGGTAATAACTGGGCTAAGGAGCAGTACCTATTCAGCCCAGGGCTCTGATAGACCCAGGACTAGAACCATTGGCTTCTGAGTCACAGGACAGAGTGCTGGCCCCTGGGCTGCATTGCCCCTGCTGCTTCCTAGAGCTAACCTCCAAAATGCTACGGCCGTCATCTCTGGTGTCATTTTATTGCATGTATGTACGGAAATGACCAAGGATTTAAAAGCTTCCCACGCGAACAAACTCCAAGCTGATCAATGCCAGACACGCTGGCTCCTTCCCTATCTGGCAGTCCTGCAGTTGCTTCCCGCACGCCGACACTGACCACACCCCAGTGTAAACACGAACAACAAAATGCTGCTGTGTTCTAGACTCGGGCTCCAGAATGGTGCGGCATGTTCTAGATTGACACTAAAATGATGTGGGCTAGAACAATGCCAAAATATTGTTGTGATCTAGGTTCTAGAGGGCCGTTGCACCAGTAGCCTAGCTCAGGGTAGGCAAACTTTTTGGCCTGAGGGCCACATCGGGGAATAGAAATTGTATGGTGGGCCATAAATGCTCACAAAATTGGGGTTGGGGTGCGGGGGGGGAGGAGGAGGAGGGCTCTGGTTGGGGGTGCGGGCTCTGGTGTGGGGCTGGGGATGAGAGGTTTGGGGTGCAGGAGGGTGCTCTGGGCTGGGATTGAGGGGTTTGGGGAAGGGGATCAGGGCTGGGGCAGAGGGTTGGGGTGTGGGGAGAGGCTCAGGGGCGCAGGCTCCAGGTGGCGCTTACCTCAAGCGGCTCGCGGAAGCAGCAGCATGCCCCTTCTCCGGCTCCTATGCGGAGGCACGGCCAGGTGGCTCTGTGCGCTGCCCCATCCGCAGGCACCGCCCCTGCAGCTCCCATTGGAGTGCTTAGGAGCCGAAGTGGGGCCATTCACAGCTTCCGGGAGCCGCGTGGTGCAGCCCAGACCCTGTGCCCCAGCTGGAGTGCTGGAGCGGGGCAAGCCCCAGACCCCGCTCCCCAGTGGGAGCTCGCAGACCGGCTTAAAATGGCTCGCGGGCCGGATCCAGCCCCCGGGCCGTAGTTTGCCCACCCCTGGCCTAGATCAATGAGCCACGCGGTCTCCGGTGCTAGAACATGAGTCCAAAAGGTCACTGGGTTCTTAAGTAAGTGCCCCAAACGCTGCCAGGTCTGGATCACTGGTCCAAAAAGTGGAGGTGTCCTATAGCAAGGGTCCAGCACTGGCGCCCCCTAGCGACGGAGGGAGCTGCTTTAATCACAGGCAGGGTTAAAAGACAGACCCAGGCACCAACTCTCCAGGGAGATTCGGATTCTTTCTTTCCTTCATTTTTCATTCTTTTTCTTTGCCTCTTTCTTTCCCATTTCCAAGGCAAGGCACCTCCATGGCTCCAGTCTCTGTTACACTTGGGTCAACCCCCAGCCCTAACCCCACCCCAACCCTCCCCACTTTGCTCGAAACACCCAGGGAAATGACCAAGGATTTAAAAGCTTCCCACGCGAATAAACTCCAAGCTGATCAATGCCAGACACGCTGGCTCCTTCCCTGCCTGGCAGTGCTGCAGTTGCTTCCCGCACACCGAGCTGGGGCAGCTGGGACTGCCAGGGGTGGTCTTGGGGGGCCGGCAGGGAAGCGGAGGGGAGGTCAGAGGGATCTCAGCCCCTGGGGCCCAGAGCTGATGGGAGGGGGGCTCATTCTCAGCACTGAGGGGTTTCGCTTAGCATGACTGTCCCGGGGGATCATGGGAGTTCTTGAGAGCGAGGCTGTGCGGGGGGCAGCACCATCCCCCCTTATGGTTCTATAGATTCCCCACCTGCACCCACAGATCACCGGGGGCCCCTCAGCGCTGGTATAAGGCTTAGGGCCCCAGGCTCAGTACTGAGTGAGAGCCAGCCGCCCCCAGAGGCTGCTGAACGTGGGCTGGGCTGGGGTTCAACCCCCCCAGGACGTCCCCCCTCAGTCACAGCCTCCGATGTCAGGCCACAGCCACGGTCCAGACCTGACCGGACCCCGAGCCATTTTCCTTTGGACCTTTATGTGCTGGTGTCACGTTATTGATTTGAACTGGGACCATATAGAACATGGTTGCAACCAAAGTCCTGTAGTGGCACCAAAAGTTGCATAAAGGGGGTCAAATGAGGTGTCTTAGACAAGGTTATAGTTTGCTGGTTATGATTATGCTGTCTATATGCGTGTAACAATTTCATAGTTGAAGTTAGGAATATTGGTTCTACACTGTCTGTATTTCAAACTTATGCTATGCTTCTGGGAAACATCCCAGACAAGTTGGTGTTAGCCCTGCCTAGCCTGCTTGATGGCCCATTAAGGACCATCAGCTATACAACTGACCCATTGAGAGAAGGCAGATATGCCGTGCAACTCAGCAAAGTATGCAGGGACTGGCCCATGTGACTCCAGACTCCATTTTGCTGTAATTTTCCACAGTTAGGACAAAGAGATGTTCTTACACCTGGAAAAGACTATAAAAGGCTGATGCCTTGTCTCCATCTGGTCTTCAGTCCTGCTTCTTACCTCTGGAGGGACTTTGCTATGAATGGAAGCTCTACGCAAAGGACTGATGACCCATCCCAGCTGTGGATGTACTCTAGTGACTGGATTTAAACCTGCAGTTTATTTCATCATTGCTACAAGCCTGAACCAAGAACTTTGCCATTACTGTATGTAATTGATTCCATTTAACCAATTCTAGCTCTCATCTATATCTTTATCCTTTTCTGAATAAACCTTTAGATTTTAGATTCTAAAGGATTGGCAACAGCGTGATTTGTGGGTAAGATCTAATTTGTATATTGACGTGGGTCTGGGGCTTGATCCTTTGGGATCAGGAGAACCATTTTTCTTTTAATGGGGTATTGGTTTTCGTAACCATTTGTTCCCATAACGAGTGGCACTGGTGGTGATACTGGGAAACTGGAATGTCTAAGGGAATTGCTTGTGTGACTTGTGGTTAGCCAGTGGGGTGAGACCAAAGTCCTCTTTGTCTGGCTGGTTTGGTTTGTCTTAGAGGTGGAAAAACCCCAGCCTAGGGCTGTAACTGCCCTGTTCTAAGCGATTTGTCCTGAATTGGCACTCTCAGTTGGGTCCCGCCAGAACCGCACCGTCACAGTTGGATCGTTCGAACTTGGGCTTAGTGGCAAGAGCCTTTAACTGCCGTCCCAGTGCCCCTGGCATGGGGCTGTGTTATAGGGAGCTCCTGGGGGTACAAAGGGGACACGCCCCCCCCCAAAGGTCTTCAAGGGGTCCCAAATTCTCGTCCGAAAAGCCAGACTAGGAACCAGGTTCTGCGGTGTCAAGCAGCAGAAGTGCTGCAGCTGGTAGAGGTTTTCTCCTTCACTCCAACTAGACATCACATCACAGGAGCCAGACTGGACCCTAAACCCCAAGATTTCCCAGGGGTCTGACTCGCCCCCTCCGGGGAGGTTGGGGACTTTTGAAATAGTGACCTGCCAGGGCCCCAAAAGATCAGTGTCACCCCCGTCACTTCCCCCCCCCCGGCCCCCCCAGGTCTGGGACCCAAGGCCCAGCCTCGAAAGGAGACCCACGGTCATTTGGGTTTTTGGCATCTCATTGTCCAGCTCTAAGCAACCCCCCTGGTTGCCCCCAGCCGGAGAAAGGGAAAGTGGGGCTGACCTGCAGGGCCACGCCTGGCCAGGAGGGGGTGCAGAGGGGCGGCCCCCTCCCTCGATGATGGGGGTGCAGCCAGGTGGTGGAGGTGGGCGTACGGCCAGAGTGGCCAGAAATACATGGCTAGAACCAAACCCACCCCACAATCCCGTGTTGTTGCACAGAACAGAGGCCGGAATGAGGCTGTCCGGAATTGGGCATGGCCTGGGAAGAGGGGGCATGTGCTAGGCAGCTCCGGGGACAGCACAGAGAGAAGGACAAACAGACACAAGAGAGAGAGACGCAGCCTGGGATGGACAGAGGGGGGTGTCCTGGGAAGGATGAAAGGACAGAAGGGGGTGGGGATGAGGCTGGACAGAGCAAGGGATGCAGTGGGGGCCGTGGATGGGATGTCTCACAGCGACGGAGCAGATGGGACCTCCCAGCCCTGAGTCCCAGGCAGGGGAACAAATCGCGAGGGGCAGGGGAGCCCCAGGTATGCACCTGCTGACGCACAATGGGGTGGGGGGTGAGCAGGTCGGGATTGAGGGGCACTGACAGAGCTGGGGGGGAGTGGGCAGGGCTGGGCTAGCAGGGGGCTGCAGGTCAGGATTGAGGGGCACTGACAGAGCTGGGGGGAGTGGGCAGGGCTGGGCTAGCAGGGGGCTGCAGGTCAGAATTGAGGGGCACTGGTAGAACTGGGGGTGGGGGACTCCAGAAATTACCCCTGTAAAAAGCAACAGAGAGTCCTGTGGCACCTTTAAGACTAACAGATATATTGGAGCATAAGCTTTCGTGGGTGAATGCCCACTTCGTCGGATGCATGTAATGGAAATTTCCAGGGGCAGGTATAAATATGCTGGCAAGAATCAGTCTGGAGCTAACAAGGTTAGTTCAATCAGGGAGGGTGAGGTCCTCTGCTAGCAGTTGAAGTGTGAACACCAAGGGAAGAGAAACTGTTTCTGTAGGTGGATA